AAAGAAAATTAGGGGCACCTGGGTGGCTCAGTCGGTTAAGCATCCAACTCTTGGTTTGGGCTCAGGTCATGATCTTGATGTCATGAAATTGAGCCCCACATCAGGCTCTGTGCTCAGGGTGGAATCTGTTTCAGATTCTATCTCTCTCTCCCTACCCCTTTTCCCACCTCTTCAACCCTGCTTGCACACTCTCTCACCCTCTCTAAAATAAATTAATAAAATATTTTTTAAAAAGAGGTATAAAAGAAATTAGTCTATAATCTACCGTCCACATTGTATTGAACATAAAACAATTAAATAGAAGGTACCATGAACTACTATTCTCAAGAGCATAACTACTACTATTTCATAGTCTTACACAGGCAGTGACAATTTGCCTTAAGGTTAAGTGAAGTGGCAGCTTTCATCATTTGCTGCTAGCATGACTGAAATGATCACCCAGCTGGTCTTCCTGTCTCTTGTTTTGCCCTATTCCAAATCATCGACCATATAGCCTCCAAGTGTTTGGATTTTTTCCTTTGAAGTATGTTAGCTAAATATATGTTAATGCCCCCACAGTGTCTTTGGTATAAAACCAAATTCATAGGCACATTTACAAATCCCCTTAAAACTTGGCACCCACCCAAAACTCAGGCTTAACTCCTGCTATCCTCATTGCCAGTCAGCTATACCAAACTATCTGCAGTTACACCAACGAGCCATTGCCTCTCCACTGTTCTACCTTTGCACATACTATGCCCTTGTGATGGTTAATTTTATGTGTCAATTTTACTATGGGCCACAGGGTGCCCATATATTTGGACAAACATTATGCTCGATGTTTCTATGAGGTGTGCTTTTGGATGTGTTTAATATTTAAATCAATAGACTAAGTAAAGCAGGCTGCCCTCCCTAGTGTGAATGGGTCCCATCCAGTCAGTTGAAGCCCTGAATAGAACAAAAACGCTGAACACTCCTACACCCGCAGATAAAGGGGAACTCCTTCTGCCTGACTGCTTTCAGGCTGGGACATTGGTTTCTTCCTGCCTTTGGACTCTGATGGAAACATTAGCTCTTCCTGGTTCTCAAGCCTGATGGCCTTCAAACTGGAACTTATACCATTAGTTTTCTTGCGTCTCCAGCTTGCTGGCTACAGATCTTCAAACATGTTAGCCTCCATAATCATGTGAGCCAATTACTTATAATAAATATATGCATAGATATAGCTATTGATATGGACAGATATAGATCTACATATATGTATTTTTACACATATATACATGTAGGTTTATATATACATATATACATAACACATTCTCTTGGCTCTTAATACATTCCTCCTCTATGTAACTAATTTATTTTCATACTTCAGAGATTCACTTTGATTATAGCTCTTTTATATAATTGTGGCTGCTCATTTGCCAACTGCCTTTTCTATCTTCCAGTCTAGAGTGAGATCCTTCTGGGGATCCTGTAGGCTTACCAGTCCCTGGCGCCAAGCACTATGCCTGTCATTAGAGTAAGTGATCAAGAAACATATGCTGAATGGATATTAACAGAGGTGGAGTAAGATTTCAGAAAAATTCTAAAAGATTTAGTTCCCATCCCCCCACCACCGCTGCCCCAAAATTACAAACCTGGAACCAGTCAATGGTACAGCAATTGATGAGGGATGGGAACTGTCTCAAGCGATTTCTAAAGGCATCTCCAATGGGGCTAAAGGCCACTACAACATGAAGATTATCTTTGCAGCGATTCACAAAGAAAGCAAACAAGGCCAAGGGACTGAGTTCACTGTGTTTATTGCCAGCCTGAGCTAAAGGACGAACACCCTAGGGAATAACAGAAAATAAAAACCTTATAAACAAAAATGGACAAGCTGATAATGGGATTAGTAGATACTGGAATATTAAGAATTTTTACTCTTCACCTTGTAAATACCCTTAAATTTTTTTATATCAGTAGAATTTCTTTGATACAGTTTGTACTTAGAAGACTTCTTCCAACTCCATAATTCTATAATTTGAAAGCAAATATCGGCTAAGAATTTAACTTATAAAGATACTCACAAAAAGTTCACCATGATATATGTATAGGACTATAATTCAACATTGCTTATAAGAGGAAAAACAAACAACCAAAGCATCCAGTTAAAAAAACGTTATAAAATATCCAAATGTTGTGATTTTATATAACCGTTAAAGAAGGCACGTCAATGTATGTGCTAGGACAAGATCAGCAGCATAAAAATGAGAACAAACTACAACAGTGTGTATAATATGATCCTCTTTGTTAACTTAAAAAATACCTAGGCACATGTGTAAGTACATACACACCTTTTTATGGAAGCAATCACAGAAACTATTCATAATGGTTACTTATGGTGAGATGGACTTAAGGGAGAGTGTGGGAGGGAGGCTGTCACTTTTTATTCTGGACATTTTTCTTGGTTTATATCATTCTTTTTTTCATTTTGGACATTTTTATGCTGTTTGAATTCTCTCACTTTATTCTTATAACATTCATATATTTTAAAAATGCTAATACAGTTGTCTGGTGATGAGATTATAGGAGCACTTTTAACTTCCTTTGTTTATCTCTATATGAGAGAGACATCTTACTCAAGGTTGGGCATCATGGCTCTGGAAAGAAACTTCTTGAATTCAAATCCCAGCTTGCAGCTTATTAGCTATGTGACCTTGGGGCAAGTTATTTAACCTCTCTGTAACTTAATTTCCTCATCTGTAAAATGGGGGAAAGAGTACCTACATCAGAGGGTTATTGAAGGATCGAATGAGTTAGTACGTGTGAACACTTGGAATAGTTCTTGTCGCATAGGTAAGTAACTACTAGTTTTTATATGCTACCCTTCTTGTTCAGAGCACAAAAGATTTCATAGTCAATAAATTATCTTATAGATTTAAGAAAGTTTTTTGATAGCACATATATAGAGACATATATATACACACAATGCTATTGCTACTACAATGAATTGATTTCTAAAAGAATTCTCTATTATAGATATGTTCTGCCTTATGTGCTAGTTATATCCGTGGAAAATTATAAATGGATTCTGTATAAGCATTCTGATAGTAATTCCCAAATTCTGGTTATTATGATCAGTGTCAGTCTATGAAGTTATTTCAGGTGGTCTACCTGCATTAAGTCTGAGTTAACCCTGGGACATGCGAACAGAGAAAGGTAATATATGGTTGTAACTGTAGAACAAAAGTTCAAGAAAGAGTCAGGATGGCAATATAAGTATGGGGATTATTTACATGGAAATAATGGTTAATGCTTCTAGGTAGATAAGCTGTCTGTGGGAGAGTAATATCCACATGCACACACATATACCTTGGGAGCAGGACTGATTCGGGGGAGTAAGAAAATGAGTTGTTACTGAAAAAATAATTAGACAAACTGAGTGAAATTTCACAGCAGTCAAGGGAAAGTGGAGTTGGAAACACACCAAAACCGGCACAAAAAAGGTTTATGGCAGTTTTATTCATAATTGCTCAAACTTGGAAGCAACCAAGACGTCCTCCAATAGGTGAACAGATAAACTGTGATACTTTCATTCCGTGGAATATCATTCAGTGATAAAAATAAATGAGCTATCAAGCCATAAAAAGATATGGAAGAACCTTAAAGTATATTGTTAACTGAAAGAAGCCAATCCAAAAAAGCTACATACTATATGATTTCAACTATGTAAGATTCTGGAAAAGCTAAAATGATGGAGACAGTAAAAACAGCAGAGATTGCTAGGAGTTCAGGGGAGGAAGAAAGGCATAAATAGATGGAATTTGTGGCATTTTTATGTTAGGGAAACCATTCTGTATGATACTTACTGGTGAATACATCAGTACTCATTTATCCAAAACCCATAAAATGTACAACACAAAGAGTGAGCCCTAATGTAAGCTGAAGAATAATGAATTATGTCAAACATGAATGAGTATTTTTAAAAGGAACTGAGAAAAATATCACTAAAAGTGGTGAGTAAGAAGTCACTGTTTTACTGAGAAAGACCCTGGGCTTCAAGGAAGGCAAATAGAACAGTGGAAAAGTAGGGGCGCCTGGGTGGCTCAGTCGGTTAAGTGTCTGCCTTCTGCTCAGGTCATGATCCCAGGGTCCTGGGATCGAGCCCCGTGTTGGGGTCCTTGCTCTGAGGGAAGCCTGCTTCTCCCTCTCCTCCCTGCTTATACTCTCTCACTGTCTCTCCCTCTCTCTCTCTCAAATAAATAAATAAATAAAATCTTAAAAAAAAAAAAAAAGAACAGTGGAAAAGTAGTCTGGAAACGGAGGTCTGAGGCTTGAACTCTATTGCTGAAGTCAGAGACATGCTGAGTCTCAAATCTTTGTCAGAGGGATGAAATAAACAAAGCCCAGGACATGATCTCCAAAGTGAGATGTCAAGGATAATGCGGAGTATGGAAAGAAAATAATAGAACTTCTTTCATATTACCTTTTCTATTTTAAAAATATCAGCATAAAGCAAAGAGAAACAGGTATGCATTTCAGTACTGCGTTCTAACTATGGCTATTTCCTTGAGGATAAATTAATCTGGTGTTCCTAGACTTGGGTGGAATGTGAAGGAAAGAAGTTCTTATGGCCACGGTTGGGTCATACCATAAAAAAAATACTGAAGCAATGGAAAAGTTTTGTAGCAAAGTGACAAGATGAAAAGATAAATAGCTAATGTGAGCAGGGAAGCTTGGCAGAGCTGAGAAAAGCCCACTCTCCAAGGGTGACTATTTCTTGGATGGGAGTATAGGGGATTAATTTATCTTATGAATTAGGAGACTCACCATTTTTTGGCAGCCTTGGCCACATCCTTGACATCACCCAGATAAAAGAGAGAACTTGGGATATTTTCTTTATTCCTTTTCTCTTTCCCCACCCAGGCCACAAACTGGTAATGTACCATTTACTGAGGGTGTTCTAAGTACAGGACACTTCATAAGTGCTTCATTTCATTTGATCTTCAGACCTCACAACAACCCTATGTAGGAGGAACTATGATGTCTATATATATTAGTTCCATTCCATGCAAGAGAAAAGCAGACACTTGAACTACTAGGGTGAATCTATTTTACTACAGATGCTATCACTGGAAATTGGAATGAAGCATCCAGCTATGAGTGATATATTTTGTAGTTAACAGTAGTTATGGCAACAAGAAAGAATCAAGTACTAGCAGAGATCTTGCATAGGGAGATATTAGAAATGGGGATAGAAGGACAAGACATCTGAAATAGCTGGCACTTCACAATTGTAATTTTTTGTCAAGTAAGTCACAAAGCATGATTCTCAGATATATCAGAATTGTTAAGACAAGTAGTTTTACTAAGGCTTTTTAAAAATTTGCTAGTCATTGGTAAACCATAACAACTAATCAAGCAATGTTTCAAAGCTATGTTTTTTCATATCACTGTGACCCTAAGATGTGATTTAAAATGTCTAATCACTCATAAAACATGCTACATAAGATCAAACAGATGAAATTGCCATCATTATAAAAAAAGGAATTATAAAAATTCTGCTCATAAGTATGGTAGAAGTGATTTGAAGTTTACCCAAAAAACCCCGATGTATTAAAATAATATACTTTTAAGTTTTTAATTACCAATACCCTGTACACAAGCTATAATTGTCCTGAAGCGCGAGAAAAAGTTGCAAGATAAGAACATATCTGTGCTGGGAACAGCACTCCCTAAAAAGCATTTACCTCCATCACTTCCTGTTTTTCATCAGCAGCAAAAATGTTAGGTACTTCTCCAGTATTGAGCACACTGTCAATATCTTCTAGAAAGGCTTCCTCTTTAATCTGAGTGTCTGTGATTAGAAAGACTGTCTTCTGGCCCCTCATGCCCACATTCCTTAATAGAACCTTAAAATAAAAATGCATTGGTAAGCAGAATATTGTGAACATGTGCTGTTTTTGCTTTCCCTTCCTTTTCCCTTCTTTTGGTAATGACACCTCAATTTTAGAGTGGTACCTCTCTCGACTTCTGGGGGTGGTATCATTCAGGGCCTCTATTTTTCCCATCCCCTGAGTGGGAGACCCTAACTGATCAGAGTCTCCCAAGCTCTTATACACAGTCATTGATTCAGAGGAGGGCATGATTTTAGGAGGGCGCAATCACAGTCTTCCTTTAAGGACTGAGATGGACTTGAAAACAGAAAGAATCTCAGTCACTCTGAGACAGTAAATAAGACAGCTAGTAATCTAGAATCTATAAAGGCCAACTATGTTGCCTCATGGAAGGAATTTGCTGGAGAAGGAACCAAATGGAAAGGCACAGAGCCAGGAGACAGAAAGAGTAATTACTGAGGGCTTAATTTGAGCTCCTAAATTCAGCCATGTCAAAGCCCTATCTACCTCTGGACACTTCTGTCATGTAAGCCAATAACTTCATATTTTGCTTAGGTTAGTTTGAGCTGTATTTTGTTTTGTGTTGTGTTGTCAATTGCAACCAAAGATTCCCAATTAATATAAAGATATGGACTCAGAAGCATGGTGGAGCAGACTTGTTAGGATGTTAGAATTAATTGTTAAAATTTCAGAACTTGTAAGCAGATTTTTAAACAGCATTAAAAATCAAATTATATGAACTTATAATAAATAAGTTATATTAACAACAAGGGTAACAAATCTCATCACTTCCTATTATACTTACTATTATCTATCTTATGGAAATTATTTAAATCTATTGTATACAGTAAAATACCATGTAATAGTGCTCAAACACATAAGTCTTCCCAACTCTGTTTTCAGTGACATCATCCATGGCAGGAGTTTGCATAATCCATGGTGGGAGTTTTTACACCACAAAAATTGGCAAATGCTATTCATCAGAGGTTCTCCCGAACCCCCTGGAGAGTTGGTTGTTAAACATTTGCCAGTATTCCACTGGATATATTTCAAGTGAAAACACATTACTACTCTGCAAATGATTTTTAAAATAAACTGTCTCTATTTCTAAATTATATCTTTAAAATAAATCATATCATTTAAATAAAGGCTGAATTTTAATATTATACAAAACTGCTTTTTCCCGTTAAAGCCATCCTCCAAAATGCAGGTTGTTGTGTTCCTAGAAATACTTTTCTATCACTAAAAATAGTTTTCAAAGAAGTATTACATCTAATCATGTCAGCTTTATTTTTATAGCATCTTTTTAAAATTATTATATATAAATAAGTAGAAAGATACAATAAAAACAGATTTAACTTACTGGTATAAGCATTGTTATACTTAAAAGTCATAGTCAAACATACAATGTGTGAAACTATTTCCAAATAGGAAAAGAGGAAACTTTTCCAAAATACTAGTTATATGCCAAGAATCCTACATTTGTATAATGTAATCATAACAACCTATGAAATAGGTGATATTATCCAAATTTTACAAATAAAGAAACTAGGGAGTGACCATCAGGCAGATGACAGACTGGGAAGCTCCAGGTCCTCATTGTCCCATGAAGACACCAAACTAGCAATGTACAGACCAAAATGCCTTTGTAGAACTCTAGAAACCAGTTATTATGTACAGCACCCCCATAAATGCATAAAAAAAGAGAAGGAACAATGCAAAGAGGGTAAGAAAATTCACTGCATTTTTCTCACCCTAGCCCCTTCTCTCCTAGCATAGAGCAACACAATCAGGAGAATACCATCAATTCTGGCTTTTTCCTCACACAGAAAGAATAGAGTGAAACTGCTTTCAGCATTCTGGCTTGTCTAGGGGCTGCCTGGGGGACTGATTTCTGTCTCACCTGACTCAGGGTACTGATGGGAACAGGGCTTAGTTCTGATATGAGGTTGGAGGCCACTGAAAACAGAGGCAAGTGCCCTGACTCAGTGGAGCATCAGAGACTGAAGTTCCACAGGAAAGTATCAGGGGGAGCAAGAGGTTAGGGGCAGAGGAATACAACAAAGGCCAAAACCAACAGATCATGAGAAGAAACAGGAAATGAAGGTAGCCAAAATCACCTGTATATATTAGAATATGTAAAAGCTCATGCACAACCCAAAAGAAGATGCAACCCCCCCCCCAAAAAAAAAAAAGTTCTGAGAAGTCTCAGAAATTCTAGCATGGTGATTGATGAAGATTCCTCCCTGTATGAAGCCAGCCCATAAAGACTGGGAGAGGTGGTGGTTTATCAAGTGCTCAAAACTCAAAAGATCACAAGACATACAAGGAAACAGGGAAACATGGCCCTATCAAAAAACCAAAATGAACCCTAAAAAAAAACAAAACAAAACAACAACAAAAACAGATCTAAGAACTGCATAACAAGAAATTCAAAATAACTTTTAAAGATGCTCAATAAGCTAAAACAGAATACAGATAGACAGCTAAAGGAAATCAGGAAAATAATGCATGGACAAAATGGGAATATCAACAGAAATATGAACTATTAAAAAATAACTTAAGAGACTTATGGGATATCATTAAGTGGACTAATATACACATTATGGGAGTATCAAAAGGAGAAAAGAGAGGGAAGAGGCAGAGAACTTATTTAAAGAAATAATGTCCCAAAATTTCTTAAATCTGAGGATAGAAATGAACAAATGAGGATAGAAATAGAAATTCAAGAAGCTCAACAAACTCCCACTAGAATAAACTCAAATAGACTCACACAACAAGACACATTATAATCAAACTGTTGAAAGTCAAAGATAAAGAGAGAACTTTGAAAGCAGCAATAGAAAAACAACACTTCACATACAAGGGAGCTTTCACAAGATTATCAGCATATTTCTGAGCAGAAATCCTGTAAGCAAGAAGGGAGTGGGATAATATATTCAAACTATCAAAAGAAAAAAAAAATCTGTCCATCAGGAATACTGTATCTGGAAAAACTGTCCTTCAAAAATAAAGAAATTAAGAACTTCTCAGATAGAAGCTGAGGGAATTCATTACCACTAGACGTGCCCCTCAAGAAATGCTAATGGGAGTCCTCCAAGTTGAAATGAAAGGGTGCTAGACAGCAACACAAAGCCATATGAAAGTGTAAAGTTCTCCAGTAAATATATGGACAAATATAGAATTCTATACTATTGTGATTTTAGTGTACAAATTCACTTTTAATTCTTACATAGAGTCTAGAATCTAAAAGCATAAAAACCTTTATAAACCCTTATGTTAATGGGTACACAATCTATAAAGACATAATTTGTGACATCAATAACATAAAGGAGGGGCAGATGTAAAGGAGTAGTTTTTGTATGTGATTGCAGTTGTTACCAGTTTAAAATAGGTTGTTATTACTTTAAGATGTCTTATGTAATCACAAGAGTAACTCCCTTCCCCCCCTCCAAAATCTGTAGAGTATACACAAAAGGAAATGAGAAAGGAATCAAAGCATGTCACTACAAACAATCAACAAAACACAAAGGCAGGCAGTAAGAGGAAATGAGGGATAAAAAAACTACAAACATACAGCAAACAGAAACAAAATGCCAATAGTAAATTCTTCCCTATCAGCAATGACTTTCAATGCAAATGGATTAAACTCTCCAGTCAAAATACATAGTTTGGCTGAATGGATTTAAAAAACAGGATCCAACGGTGTGCAGCTTAGAAGAGACTCACTTTAGACACAAGGACACAAGGGCTGAAAGAGAAAGGACGGAAAAGATGTTCCATGCAAATGGCAACCGAAGGAGAGCAGGGTGACTATACTAATATCAGACAAAATCGTCAGTAAAAAACTGTCATAAGTGACAAGAAACATTATATGATGGTAAAAGGATTGATTCATCAGGAAGATGTAACAATTATAAATATTTATGCACCAAAGAGCTGAGTTCCTAAATATATGAAGCAAACATTTATAGAATTGAAGGAAGAAATAGCAACACAATAGTAGGAGACCTTCAATACTCTACTTTCAATAAGGGACAGAACAAGCAGACAAAAGATCAATAAGGAAATAGAGTATTTGAACACTAGAGCCTGTTGGACCTCACAGACATATAGAGAACACTCCATCCAACAACAGCAGAATACACATTCTTCCCTAGTGCACACAGGACATTCTCCAGGACAGATCACATATTAGGCCACAAAACAAGTCTTAATAAATTTAAGAAGATTGATGTCAAATCAAGCATCTTTTCTAATCACAATGGAATGAAACTATAAATCAACAGCAGAAGGAAAATTGGAAACTCTACAAATTCACAGCAATTAAACAACACACCCTTAAACAATAGATCAAAGAAGAAATCAGAGGGAAATGAGAAAATTTCTTGAAACAAAGGAAAATGAAGACTCAACATATCAAAACTTATAAAATGCAGCAAAAGGGGGCACCTGGGTGGCTCAGGAGGTTAAGTATCTGCCTTTGGCTCAGGTCATGATCCCAGTGTCCTGGGATCCAGTCCCGCGTCAAGCTCCCTGCTCAACGGGGAACCTGCTTCTCCCTCTCCCTCTGCCTGCCACTCCCCCTGCTCGTTCTCTCTCTCTCTCAAATAAATAAAAATTTTTAAAAATCTTTTAAAAAATGCAGCAAAAGCAGTGCTAAGAGGGAAGTTTATAGCTGTAAACACATTAAAAAAAGAAGAAAGATCTCAAATGAACAACCTAACTTTATACCTCGTGGAACTTCAAAAAATGAACAAATGTAAACTCAAAGCGAGCAGGAGGAAGGAAATAATAAAGATTAGGGAAGAGGTAAACAAAATAGAGAATAAAAAATCAATAGAAAAGAATCAGTGGAACTTAGAGTTGTTTTTTTTTTTCTTAATCAAGAAAATTGGGGTGCCTGGGTGGCTCAGTCATTAAGCATCTGCCTTCGGCTCAGGTCATGGTCACAGGGTCCTGGGATCGAGCCCCACATTGGGCTCCCTGCTTGGCAGGAAGCCTGCTTCTCCCTCTCCCGTTCCCCCTGCTTGTGTTCCCTCTCTTGCTGTAGCTCTCTCTGTCAAATAAATAAATAAAATCTTTAAAAAAATAAATCAACAAAATTGACAAAACCTTAGCTAGATTAAGAAAAAAGAGAAAAAATTCAATAACTAAATTTAGAAATGAAAGAGGGGATATTACAACCCATGCCACAAAAATTAAAAAGGATTATAAGAGAATACTATTAACAATTGTATGCCAACAAATTGTATAACTTAGAATAAATTCTTTTTTTTTAAAGATTAAAAACAAATGAAGAAACTGAAGTACAGAAAAATTTAGTAACATGCCCAAGGTAACTACCGAATCATAGAAAATAGGAATTAAAACTGAGTTTGCCTAGCTTTAAAGTCCATGTTCTTTCTACTAAAGAAGGCTGCTTTCTAAATCTATTAGTTCATGTGGTAGTAAATGTATCAAAAAAATTCCTCTAAAGTGAGAGCAGAAAAAGAAACTGTAATTTTTCCTTCTATGTCTATGTAAACCTCTTTGGTATCAGCTTGGATTCTACCATTTCCACCTGCAAGCAGACCTTTCTCCATGCTAACTTTTAGGATGTAGAAACCTACTATGTAAGGTGAGTACAAGTGAAAAAATCCAGCAATATCTCTCTATTTTTCATTTTGGATTATCTCCCTTCTGGGTCCTGCAGAACCCTAGTCATGTGAGGACAAAGCCCCAGGCATGCACTCCAGTATTTTATTGGTTACTGGGAAAGCAACATGGCTCCCAGGAAGCTATTAAGATCGGACAACATAAACAACATCATCATTGCCAAGGCTCATACAAAACAGTTTTCTGGGAAACATACATTTGTCTGAAATAAGACCTCTCTGAACTGAAAAACAGAATCAGCAGCAGCAGTGGATAAGACATGTTATACATCCTGCTCTGCTGTGCATACCTTCCCTTGACTTCAGTTTCCTCATCAGTAAAACAGAGACAACCATCCCTGTTGCACTGACTTGTATCTACAGAATGAGATGGTGTATGTGAAGCACTTCACGCTCAGCAAGCACAGTAACTGCTCTGTGGATAACACTGTCATCCTCACCAATGCATTCAGCACACAGCTGTACAGGTTGACCCTCTCTTCACAGCACCGATATTATTTTAGACATTAGGTTTCTTCCTAACTTTACCTTCAGATCCTCTCTCCACTCATTCATACCGTAGCTTTTAGAAATTTCTGGTTGGAAAATCTGCATTTTTGCCATGGATGTAGCCAGACGAGTTAAAGATTGACGACCACTGCCTCCAAGTCCAACAAGCAAAGCATTTCCACCAGACTGCTTTAGAATTCGACATATACGTGATAGATGTTCCAAAACATACCTACGAAATATCAATATTATTATACTTGAAAATATGCATGTAAACGTATATTTACATGTAACTATTATTTTATATTCTTGGAAGGATGGACTTTGCTATCCCATATGTTATCCCAATTTTAAAGATGTAATCATCAAAAAGTGTGGTTTTTCAAAAGAAATTACAACTGGATCACTTGATGCAAAGGAAAACTAAAGTACAAATTCAGGAAATGTAATATACAAATTATAGAAATGAAATTTTAACTACTTATACTGAAGCATATTCCTGCTTTTATTAAAAACATTTCTTTAATCTTAATACTAGGATTTCTATGTGAGAAACAGAAAATCAGTTCTCTACAAAATTAAATTCAGTAAAGACACCAAGCCTCACTAGTAATTAGGGAAGTTAAAATTGGAGCCACATTTCTACTCTCCTTCAGACTGGCAAAACTTACCAAGCTTGGCAATCCTAAGTGTTGACAAGGGTGAGGGACAACAGGAGCTCTTAAATAATCATTTTTGAAGACACTTCAGCCAAACTTAGTGAAGTTGAAGATGCTTACCTACCATGACACAATAATTCCACTTTTAGGAATATAGCCTAGAGAAATTCTAACATGTGTACCCAAAGAGACATGAATAGTCAAACTTTTTTTTATAACTGCAAAAACTAGAAGTCACCTAAAAGTCTGTCTCAGAAAAATGACTACATTGTGTTAGTAGCAAAAACTCATTTTTTGGAATTTACAAGTCAGGAAACGACAGATGTTGGC